AGCCTGGTTAAGAGCACTGTCAGGACTCTGCAGACCCCCCAAAGAACCAAGAGCAACAGAGAAGGAAAGAGCCGACTTTGGATCTCTCTTTGAAGGCGTGGTCCTGTCTCCTTCCTAGGATGGGTTAGCCGCCTCTCCGGGCCTGGTTATTCTCGGGAGCTGGGGACAGGTGGCCTTGTTTGCAAGCTTCAGAGCTCCTCTTCCTCGCCTTCGAGTCTGTCCTCTCTCCTCCCTTCCCATGACTCCCCCATGCTTGAGAAGTCCCATGGCTGCTGATCCTGGGTTCCATGCAGCTTCTGGACACCGAAGGTCAAGGAGGAGCAGGAGCTGCATGGGACACATCCGATGACAAAGGAGAGTGTCAAGCCACCATTGCCTCTCTGATCAAAAAGGGAATTACTTTATGCTGGGGCAGAGGGAAGGAGTGAGGGGTGTGCCCCTGGGAAGTCTGGCTCCTGCAGGTGCTGCCTCCGTGGGCAGAGGGTGCCTAAGGACCAGGCAGGGCCCCACAGGTGCCGGCATCTGTAGTGGTATTGAGATGAGCAGGGGCCCTCCTGACGCCCTCTGAACAGCCACATGCCAAGCCCAGCACACCCGACCCCCTTACCTTTATTTGTCTTTTTCTGTCCACCTGCTTGTCGTATATTCATACGCTTGTTTACGAGATTATACATTTACATTTCAGTATCTACACTTGTTTATTGTCTGTTCCCCGCCTCCGATGGGATGTGGGCTCCAGAGAGACAGGAGCTGGTATGATCTGCCCACGGCTCTGTCCCTGGTGCCTACCGTGGTACCTACTGAAACCGTCAGGCAGGTGCCCAACACGCGTTTGCTAAATGAATGAGAATGAATGAATGTGGAGATGGGTGGGTGGGATCTGTTAAAAGAAAAGCTTCAGACAAATTAAATGTATCATAGTTTAATTTGAGCAAAGAACAATTTGCAGATCGGGCAGCCCCAGAATCAGAACAGATTCAGAGCGACTCCATGGCTTCCACGTGGTGGGTTACGATTTATAGACAGATAAAGGGAGTGGGATGTGGAGCAGGTGCTGCCTGTGATTGGCTGAGACTCGGCTCCGTGTTACAAGAGTACGTTAGTCTGTTTATGCATCCAGTTAGGTTACAGTTCACTGTGTCTGAAGAACCTTCAGGCCAAGCTTAATTTAACAGATCCTTATCCCACACGGCTGAGGCCCCTGCTGCCCCAGTCCCTCAGGTCAAAGCCCCAGAGCCAGGATTTGAACCCTTGGCCTCAAGTCCTGAGCCCCCTAGGTGGCCCGGCCCAACCCATGGGCTTAGGACACCCTGGATCCCTCCCTGTGGTTTTTGTCTGCCAAGCCTGGTGGCTCCTGGGGCCTCTGGTGACTCCAGCATATGTGTCACAGTGTCCCTTTCCTGGAGGACATCTGTCACCTTCCACGGCAACTTCAGAAAACAGAGAGATGCTCCCTCCAGCACCTTGGCCCCGTCACCCCTCAACCACTCTCCTACAGTCATCCCCAGTAGTGCCACCCCTCCACAGGTGTCTGGCCTTACCCTTGGAGGCTCCCAAGCTGTGGCGCACATGGCCTCCCCCCTGCACCTGCCCTTCTCTCTTCCCCATCTTGAGTGAGTGGTTGACCGCTGTCCTCTCCCTTTCCCCCTCCTCCATGACAGTCGTCAGCAAAGACCCAACCCTGGTGTGACCCAACAGACCTGTCACTCACTGTCTCTCTCCTGTTAAACATGCGACCACAGGTGTCTGGGTGCACCGGGCGCTGCCCAGAGATCCTGCCACATTCTCCATCAGGACACCTTCGCTGTCCACCACCACCTTTGTGCCCCTTCCCCGTGGCCTCAGACCCCACTGTGCTCATTCCCACTGAGGATGGAGCTTCACGCAACACTGAGGAAGCAGGGCCTGCCCAGGGCACCAGCACTGGCTTTGAACTCTCTCACCACGCTTCGGCTCTGGTGTTCTTCTTATTTACTTACTTATGTTAATGACCCCCGTCCTACTCTCACCAGAGACCTTGCATTTCTGGCTTCCCCAGTGTCTAGAAAAAGGTCTGGTGTATCGTAGGCGCTCAGTCATGCTGTGTTGGATAACGGTGCACTGATTTTCCATTGGTCTTTCCTTTGATCTCATTCGTCTTCGCTGTTCCACAGTAATGTCAAAAGTTGTGATTTGGTACCTGGAAGTGTGGTGTTGCTGTCTTAAATGACACATTTAATGTCATTAATGTCCTAAAAGACACAATCTGAAATGACAATTCTACATCTCTGTGGACTGGGCTGTGGGTTTTTCAGCACACCAGGAAACCCCAGTCTCAACACCGTGCAAATGGTTAATTTCTGGCAAGCACCAGGATTCTTTTCCTGTTTGCAAACTCAAGATAGCAGCAGGCAGCTGAGGGCCTCTTCCTGCAGAGACATGCTCAATGCTGTGTGAGTGTGTGTGTGACTGTGTGCGTGTGTGACTGTTTGTGACTGTTTGTAAGAGTGAGTGAGAGTGTGCATGTGTGTGGAGGACTCTAGGCCCAGACTCAGGAGGAGTTTTGGTGACCTGGCAGCTTGGGGGGTTCTGAGTTCCCTCCTCCTGATCACCCAGACAGCTGGGCTAAAAATCCCAATGCCCGCTACACAGTCGGGCTGATTTTTGTTAAATACGCAAACGGCAGCGATTGATGTTTATGCGTGTTTTAGTCCTTTTTGTGTTGCTATCACAGAAATACCTGAGACTGCGTGATTTATAAAGAAAAATAAAATTTATTGCTTACAGTTTCTGAGGCTGGGAAGTCCAAAGTCCATCTGATGTTGGTGACAGTGACCCGGGGGTCTCACATTGCAAGTTGGTGGAAGCAGAGAGAGAGAGAGAGAGACAGACTCTCCTCTTCTTTTAAAGCCCTCAGAACCATGCCCCTGACCACCATTTCTAATCCATTCACGACTGCAGGGTCCTACAATCCAATCACCTCTTCAAGGCTCCATCTTTCAGTTACCATAATAGGATTTCCCACCCTCTTAACTGTCACAGTGGGGGCTAAGTTTCTAAAACTCAGAGGACACAATTCAAGCTTCAGGGAGTTTTGGGGAGAACACAATTCGATCCACTACAATGGGTTTCCAAGTTTACCAGATGTCTCCTCTGTTTCTGCTCTTGATTATCAATCACAATCTTCAGTATTAGTAGCTTTGTTTTAAAGTTAAGGAACCTGCAATTTTTTTGCAAGAATTGTTTTTTTTTTTTAATTGTAGTAAAAGTCCCATAACAGAAATTTTACCATTTTAACCATGTAAAAGTGTATAATTCGGTCGCACTTGGTGCATTCACAGTGTTGCGCAGTCATCACCTCTATCTAGTTCCAGAACCCTTTTACCACCCCAAAAGGAAACACTGTACCCGTCAATCAGTCACTTCCCATTCCTCTCTCCCTTCCAGCCCCGACAATCAGAATCTGCTCTCTGTCCCTATGGACTTGCCTACTCTGGACTCTCATGCAGTAGAGTCACATGTGTGATCTTTTGTGTCTGGCTTCTCTCACTTAGCCTGAAGTTTTCCAGGCTCATCCATGTTGTAGCATGTGTCAGAACTTCATTCTTTTCTAAGGCTGAATAATATTTTGTTGTATGGCTAGACCACCTTTCATGTATCCATCTGTCCGCTGATGGACACCTGGGTTGTTTCCACATTTTGGCTATTGTGAATCGTGCTGCTGTGGACATGGGTGTACAAATACCTGCTTGAGTCTCTGTTTCAATCCTTTTGGATGTCGACCTAGGAGTGGGATGGCTGGGTCGTATGGGAGTTCTGTTTAACTTATTGGGAAGTTTCCACACAGCCACACTGAAGCCACACTTTCAGAGTAGGTGGCAGAGGATGTCCAGGGCAATCTGACCTCTTCCTGCCATAGACATCCCAACCTCCTTCCATTTCTTCTTCCCAGCCCTCCCCCACCCCCGCCCACAGACGGAGCCACAGGAAGCCACCACACAGATGGAAAGTCCCATGCTCCCTGGGAAGCGTTCTCAGGGGAGGGCATGCCTCAGCCCGCCTGGGCCCGGTCTCAAGGGATGAGGGTTTCTCAGAGCCTGTTGAGGAAGACGGACGTGAGGGTATTGGCAGCAGCCAGATGCAGGGAGAGGTTAAAATTCAGGTGGTTATTGGCGGAGGCTTCATGCAGCTTTCTCTGAGTGTCTCAATGGGCCAACCCCCCCCGGTACGGTCCACGGCCAGGCTCAGGGCTAAGTGCTGACCCACATTGACTCATTCATGCCCACAACTCCGGGCGTGTACTAGGACGACCCCATTATACAGATAAGTAGCCTGAGGCTCCGAGAGGCTAGCTCACTCACACAGCATTCTACAGGCTCTGGCATCTAGCGCTTGACCACCAGGCTATACAGCCTCTCCATTGGGCCCCTGTTGAAGAGCTGGGCTCAGAAAGACAAACTAACTCACTCATGACCCCATGCCAGAGGCTGGGGGAAGAGGGAGGACTTGCACTGAGGCCCAGGCCTTGTCTGGCCTCTTGGATCACTGTCCACCCCTTGGCTCCCTAAGCTATGAAATGCAGGACAGTAAACCATCCACCTCCTGCTCTCGAACAGCAGCTGTGTCCATTAAATGAAATAATAAACATGACCTTTTATTGAGGAAATCTACAATAAGTTCAGACATTTCCAGGCACATAGAAGTCCTGTTTCAGGGGCATCTTATGAACTTGGTCCCCAGCAGAAGATGCACTGGTATGAATCAGGAGTCAAGGGTTCTGGCCCCAGCTCCACTGCTGGTCACTGTATGTCACCAGCTGAGTCTCTTTGCTCTGAGCTTGGTTTCTTCACTGCAGAGAGGGAACTTGGGGAACCACTGGAAGGCCTGACACGCTGAGGGGACCACCCCACCCTCACTCCCAATCCTACCTCCGGACAGTCCAGCTGCAGAGAGCTGACCCGACAGCACACATGCAAAGTTGCTAACTGCCCCCTGTTTTTTGTCTGTCTGTTTGTTTGAAGAGACACTTGTCGCCTGAGGAGTTCCAGGAAGTGTTTGGGATGAGCATCGAGGAGTTTGACCGCCTGGCCCTCTGGAAGAGGAACGACCTCAAGAAGAAAGCCCTGCTGTTTTGATGGCCGCCAATGTGCCTCGCTGTGTGTGTGTTGGGAGCAGAGAAGAGAGAATCCTGGCGTGAACCGCGCAAAACCCTTCCTACTGCACCTTGCTCTGGCTTCTCTGTGTCCATGGGGTGGGCGGTGGGCTCCTGGGGGAGGCTGGGCCGGGGGCTTCAGGGTGAGAGGAGGTCCCCCAGCAGCTGCAGCCCCTGTTTCTGCCAGTGACGCTCCTGCTCGTAGTTTAGGGCCAAGACAACCAGCTTTGCACCACCCCTTCCCGCTGTGGCCTGGCTGCAGAGCAACTGTCACAGGAGATCAGGCAGAACATCCATAGAGCTGCAGCCCACCGTGCTAGGCATCCGGGGTGCAGAGGTGGCCAGGACGTAAGCCATGAGGAGGCTTGTCAATGACAGACGCTGACACCGTCATGGGTGGGTGGGTATGAGGCTCCTCAGAGGCAGGATGGGCACGGCCTGGCAGGCAGACTCACAGGCTAGGGCAGGAGAGGGCTGCCAAGCATCTGGGGGCAGTGCCAAGCGTGGGGTGCACGATTTTTGCAGCCATCTGTGACGGGTCTCTTTTTAGGGACAGCATCCACCTGGCAGGGCACCTTCCACCCGTGCCCCTCCACATACTGCATTCTTCCAAATCATCCCCTAGATGCCACATGATATCTTTAAAATAACACAGAAGTTTTTATTTTATTAAAAAGTATAGTCTACTTAAACATAAGATGACATATATAAAGAGTTTAATTCTACGGTCCCTCTGTAGAGGTGCGCCTCCAGCCTTATTCTCCACCGTTCAGATCTATGTGGTTTTGGTTCTTGGTGTGTTCTTAATACATAGGACCCCTTGTCTGTTTTTTTTCTTTTTTCCATTTTTGTGTGTCATGCAGGTAACCCTAAGGACAGACCCCTGTAACTAATGCTGTTTATAAATACACATGAGGTATAGCCACGACTGTTTTCCTCGCTGTTATTTTTCCAAGTCTTGGAGAGAAAACATCCTCTTCTGATGGCCAAAGCCCTGGAATAAAGGATTTCCATGTACCCAGCCTAATATCCGACATAGCTTTTGGTGTAGCATCTCTGTGATGTAGTCGGTGGTGTCTCACCTTCCCCATTGAAACACATAAACCACGCATGCTCCAGGAACGATTCACTCACGCATGTCCCTGAAACAGGCAACCAGATGCTCTTGGGTGGGAGGGATGGAGACGTGGCTGTCTTCTGATCTGTGAGGCCATCAGTGGGTCCTGGGGGCAGAACAGCTGGGTTCCTCAAGTGGAAGCATTCGTGTCTGTGGTTGGGCGTGGGTTACAGTGCCTGTCACAGGATCCTGACAAAGTACACTGAGAGGTGGGTGAAACGCCAAGGGCTGGGTCCCGATCCTCAGAGGCCATGGCCTCTTGGTGTGTGTCCTGGATATTCCACCCATGAGTCGACCTTACTCAGCTTCCTTATGGCCCATTCTGCGCTCGGCTTCTCACCAGCACCGGCTTGGCCAGGGAGAGAAATTTTTAGCACCTAATATGCTTCCTGCCCCTTAGCAATCAGAGCCTGAGCAACTGGAAATCCCCATTTTCTCATTAGTGCGACGTCACGTCTGATGCCAGGGAAGGCTGGAACAATAAAGGATGACGTATCCTGACCTGTGTAAGTGCGAAGCCACTTGTGATGAACGTGTATGATTTTTCAAGGCACGGGCACTTTGCAAACAGGCTTGGCGAGAGCACCTGCTCAGAGCACCGCATTTGGGTGTGCACAGATCAGGGCAGGGCCCTCGGGGGGGGAAGACTGAGGGTCTGCATCAGGGACGCAGTAGGACGCCCCTGTCAGAGGCCACGACAAGGCTTTGAGCCTCGAATCTCTGCTTGATCAAGAGTATTCCTCAGCCCCAGGCACTGGCTGTAGAGATGAATAAAACTTGGTGTCGGCCTGCCCCCAAGTAAGGCTGGGGAGCTCAGCCAGCACACATTCAGTAACAATGGGACTGACAGGCACTCCATGGAGTGGGCTCAGAGGAAGCCCCAACACTCCCGAGGTCAGGGAGGCCTTCAACAGGAGATGCTGCCCAAACCACATCTTGACAAGTGGGGAGCCATCCCTGGAGACACGAAGGGAAGGTGTCCCAAACAGATGGAACAACAGAGGCACTGAGGCTGGAAGCAGCCTCCCAGGTTCTGGAGACTTTGGTAGCTGGTCATGGCTGAGCACAGGGCTGAGAAAAGGGCTGGAAGGAAAGAGAACGCTACGAGGGCCCCTCACAGAAGGACCCACGCCATCCTGGGATTAAATGTCTCATCCAATGACAATGATTGTCCAACCCCACCCAAGTGCCTTCGATGACTGTTCATATGAATCTGTTGGGAGTCCTCAGTGGCCCTGGCTACTGTCCTCTGCAGGTGAGCCGTCCACTCGTTCATCATGCAGATCTGCCCACTGGCACCGGATGGGCCACCAGACGCTCCAGGTCTTGCCATATGCTCCCTCCTGGAGGGTTTTTACCTACAAGACACCATGTTCTAGCACATGAGCTTCTGTCCTAGCATAAGTGATCAGACCTAGGCTGGCCCCCGAGCCATCTGCAGAGTGGACTCACGGATGGCCCAGTGCGATGGCTTGGCCTCACAGAGAGATCATCCACCCAACCAGAAGCTCTCTCAGGAGGTCGACTTTGAAACACCAGGGAAGTGACAGAGAGGTGGGAAAAGCAGGGGGACACCAACCAGAAGCCATGAACAAGCAGAGGCCAGGGGTAAAGGGAAGGGGAGAGAAGAGGAGTTGGCCAGGAAAGGAGGAAGGGGATGCAGGCTGGGAGACGGAGCTGGAGGAGCCGAGGCACAAGCAAGGTGGACATCCTGAGTGGCCGGGCCCTGGTGACGGTGTGCGCTGTACTTATGCCCACCCCACCCCTCCTCTGGCTTCTGAGCCCATTGAGAACCAGCAGGAGGAGGTGATGATGGCCCAGGGCCAGGAGCAGCTTCCTTAATGCACCAGTCCCCAAACCCAAAATGCAGAGCTTCTGGAACATCTGAGTTGAATATATTGCTTAGTGTGTTTTAAATCAGAAAAATCTTCAAGATGGTTCACCCCCATCCTCATCCCAAATCTGGACCTACGTGCCCCAGGGTTAGTTGGCAATGCAGGGTGGGTAGAAGCATGCTACCCTGCCCGCTGCCATGGGGAGAAAGACCTACTGCGTGCACGTGTCTCCAGGCCCACCCCCAGAACTCAGGCCTGGGCACTGGCCCGGCCATGTCACTGCAGGAGGCAGAGAAGAGAATCGCCGCAGAGATCGTTCATCAGCCCTTTCCCTCTGAGCTCTTGGGGTCCTCACGATACTCCTAGGAGGCAGATCCTTCTGGAATCCCCACTTTACAGACAAGGAAACTGAGGTACAGAGAGAGGTGGTGTAACTTGCCCGGGATTACCTAGATGTAATTCCAGACTAAAGATCCACACTCTAATTTTGATGCAATGTGTCACCTCGCCTGCGTGTTTGCCTGAAGCAAGCCGCCCCAAGAGCTGGTAGTGGAGCTTGTTGTGCTCGTCATGCCTGGACCAGGCCTGCAGCTGCCAGGGCCCCCATCTCACCCATCAGAGAAGTCCCTCGTGTGCCCAGAGGAACTGGGGGAGGGTGGAGAGGGAGACTGGAAGTGGTCCTGCAAAGAGGCTGGACTCCTGGGCTCCAGCCATGTCCACAGGTGGGGATGCTCACCCCTGTGGTTGTGAGGCCGGTGACAGGCTGTGTCCTGGATGGTGGAAAAGGGTGTTCTGTGTTGGGGAGGCCTGGCCATGGGGTACTGAGGCTGCTTCCTATCACCCTCAGTTCTCGAGGATCCCCATATGGTCCCAGCCTCCGAGGACACTGAGCATGCTCCACTGCTTGTAGCGTGCCTTTGCCAGGTGGACCTTCCTCTGGCCTCAAACCGCAGCTGGGTCCTGCCACTTCTCTCCTCCAAAGCAGCCATCCTTAACCTTCCTTCTGCTCTGCTCGGTGCCCCTCCCCACCCCATCTTTCTCGGCCTCCTTGGCCTCCTCCTCCGTAGCTGCTCCGAGGCCTCCTTGACTCCTTGCTGCAGTCTGTCTCACTTCCTTTTCTTGGTTCCCAGGCTGCCCTTCCAGAGATGAGACCTATCTATTACATAGGCTAATTCAAATCACAAAAGTTAAAGCTGGACCATCCTAGAAGCTAGTTCCCATGGCCTGTGGTCTCCTCCTGCCAAATCCCTTCCTTCCAGAGCAGCGCTGGGTGAGTGGTCCACCCATTCAAGGCAGGGCTGCCTGGGGTCAGGGCGGGGCTCTGCGGAGAAACCCTGCCACGTCCTGTGCAGTCCCTGTGCTACAGCTGGGAGGGGCATGTCCTTAAGCATAAAAGCGCTTCTGACAAATTAAAGGGGAAAGGAGATCAGTGCTTCCCCGGGGACCACCGGAGGCTTCTGGGCCTATTACTGGGCTCGGTTTCATGAATGACAGAAGCTTCCTTTTCTCATGTCTGAATCATGAGGGCCAGTAAACATTCCTCAGCTGCACGTCATTTCTGATAGCTCCATAGCAGCCCTGCCTCCTACCCACCCTTTCTTCCCCCCAAACCGTGACTATCTGTCTATTATAACACTCACATACCCTGTCACCGCCTCCCGTCCGTCCTCTACTCAGCAGCCCACAGCAATCTGTCTGCAGTGCGGACTTGACCGTGCCTTTGGTGGGACCTCCGTGGGCTTGTTCCCCACTAAAGTCCAGGTTTCTTCATGAGCCGTCATCTGGCCACTGCCCCCCTCTCCGCCTCTTACCCCTCACCTCCTGCCCCCTTGCTTCTTGAGCAGCACCTTCTCGCCTCCCTCCCAAACACTGTGACCTTTGCAAAGTCTCTTCCCTCTGCCTGGAAGGCCCCACCTGGCAAACTCCTATTCATCCTTCCGTACCCAGATGAGATGCCACATTCTCTGCAAAGACTTCCCTGACATGACTCCCCACCCCCAACTCTTACACCCAAATAACCCAGTTCATCAACAGATATTTACCAAGCTGGGTGCTGATGAAATAGAGATAAACAAGACACCATCCTTGACCTCTAAGACTGATTACAGCCCTGGAAGGGCTGGTCAAAGGAGCAGGCAGTGGCAGTCTAGGGCAGTGGTCTAGAGGCAGGGAGCGTGGAGGAGCCTAACCAGGAGCGAGGCAGGGCGTCAGACAGGCTGCCCACACCGAGCTCCATTGGAGCTGAGTCCAGAGGGGTGAGCAGGGGTCAGCCAGCGAAGGCAGGGCAAGGAAGGGGTGGAAAGGGGCATTCCAGGCAGAGGAAACAGCCAGGCAAAGGCCTGAGGACAGGAAGCCATGGGGCACATGGAGCTACGCCAGTGTGGCCTTGTGAGTCAGTCCCTTCTCTGTGCTCCAGCAGCCTATTTGTGCCTTGGCTAGGAGGCATTCCATATCAGCTCAGAGTGGCCCATGCACCACCTGCCAGGGGGATGCCACCACTCCCTGCTGCAGCCCTTGGACACTCGCCATTCCTGTACAATCCATAGGCTTCTTACGCAGCCGTCTGCAACTCTGGCTTTTGTTCGGCCTGTGTATGGGCCAGGCCTGGAGTGCCAGGGAGTTAACCCACCTTTGGGAGCTGCCCTCAGCCAGTGGGGGATAGCCCAGAGATTGTCCACCACTGGGATTGAGCCCCAGTGGCCCCCAGTGACTCATTACCACACCTCTCTTGGCACCTCCCGCTCCCTGACCCCATCCCCACTGGCACTTCCTGGGATCACCTCTGTATAAGTCCGCTTCTGTCACTTATAACAAAATACCTGGAACTGGGTTATTTATAAAGAAAACAAAATTTATTGCTTACAGTTTTGGAGGCTGGAAATCCAAAGTCCAGGGAACACATCTGGTGAGGGTCTTGGTGGTGGTGACAGTGACCCAGGGGTCTCACATGGCAGAAAAAGGTAGAAAAAGAAAGAGGGATGGTTCCTCATGGACTGTCCTTTTAAAGCCCTCAGAACCACACACCTGACCACCATTATTAATTGACACACTACAGATCCGTCCTACAATCTAATCACTTCTTCAAGTCTCCACCTTTCAATCACCATAATGGGATTTCCCACCCTCAACAGTGACAGTGTGGATTTAAGCTTCAATGAAGTTGGGGGGAGCAACTACTTGTACTCAAGGCCTGGTTTAGGGTCTACTTTTGGGAGACCCGGCCTCAGACACCCACATTTCTATGGGCCTCACGTGCTGAGGGTATAAATGTGTCATTCTTACATTCTTGGCATAACCCTCTGGGGGCCGTGGAGGGCTGGGGTGGGCCACAATCACTCTGCTGCTGTAATATGATGGGGCCCCCACCCTGGTCTCAGCTGGCTTCTGACCCTTGCAGTGCTAGCGCCTAGAGCTCTTTTCTCTCTCTATCCCACAGAAAACTCTCTCTATATCTCATGACCAATGCTTCCAGAAAGTTCTTGCAGGGAGCTGCTGGGCTACAGAGACACAGCTCTCTCCTTCTAAGACACTCTGGAGGGCAGGCTTGGCCTCCAGCCCTCCAGCCCCCAGGATCCCTCTGGCCTGCTCCTAGTGGCCAGTGATCTTTGTCCAGCTGGCCCAGCTTGTCACTTCTAGGTTGCTTCTGAAAGGAGCCCTGCCCACCAG